CCATGACTTCTATCTTCTCTGCAAGGAGAGGCAGGAGAAAGAAACTCCAGTGTGCTTCTTGGGGGCAGTTGGAAAGACCACTCAACTTAAAATAGGCTCCTTTGGTGCCAGGGATCCTTTGCTTACCAGAGCATGCAACATTATAGGATGGGTGAGCAAGGAGTGTGTGGTGGTCTCAGAGTCCGATTTGAGTTTGCATCGTCACGATTTAGAGCCTGTGCTGGTTAGTTTTTTTGTCAACTTGGCATAGACTAAAGTCACCTGGGAAGGTGAAACTTCAAGTGAAGAATTGCCCATATCAGTTTGGCCTGTAGGCAAGTGTGTGGGGGCATTTTTTTTTTTTTTTTTGTGATTAATAATTGATGTGGGAGGGCCTAGCTCTCTCTGGGCAATGCTACCTATGAACAGGTGGTTCTGGGCCTTCTTATATACAGGAAAGCGGGCTCAGCAAGTCACAAGGAACTCTACAGTAGCAGCACTCCTCTTTGATTTCTGCCTCCAGGTTCTTTCCTTGAGCCCCTCCCTTGGCTTCCCTCAATTGTAAGCCAAATAAACCTTTTCTTCCCCAAGCTGTTTTTGTTCACTGTTTCGTCACAATAGAAAAGCAAACTGATATAGAGCCTTACAGATGACCTTATCTGTAAGGTCATCTTTGTGTTTGAGAAGGGTGAATTCCAGATGCCCAGGGTTGTGCCAGGACAAGTTCCCACACCTGGCTCCATATACTGCTCCAACTATGGGGAAGGTTTTTTTTTTTTTTTTTTTTTTTTTTTTTTTTTTTTTTTTTTTTTTTTAACCGTCTCTTTTAGGAGATAGTAGACGGAGGTTGTTTTATGCTCATTAAAGGAAGAAAAGACAGGCTCCTTTATCATCATAAGGAACTTCATGTTTCCTGTAGAAGACTCCAAGTTCCCATCTTCTATGGCCTCTTCTCTGCATAGGACTAAGAGGTGAGGACAAGAGCTATGGGGGGGGGGTAATACAATTTTTCATAGAACCAGAGCTGGCTGTGAGCTGACTTGGGGACAGGCATCTGGCTTCATCTTCCCTGGGTGTTCCAGGAGGCCAGAGTCTTCAAACCTAAGGCATTTGTGCTAATTCCTAAGTGGCTCTTTCCAGGAAGAGGAGAGAAAGCTGGAAGGTTATTACTGCTTTCCCTTCACTGAACAGAAAGAAGCAGTCCCACAGTGGGATTCTGAAACTGCCCTGAAAATGTACTGCTTGTCCCTCTCTGCAGCCCAAGAGGGCATCTCTGTGCAGGAAATCTAGCCCTGCAGGCCCACCTCAGTGTGGGGGAAGGGACTGGGTAAAAGGGAGGCCAAGGTTTCCCTGCCTCCTCTCTCCTTTAAGCATACTTCCTTGTTTATGCTTCTCAGGATGGGCCTCACAGAAATTTCTCGTTTCTAAGGGACTTGTGCCCCTTGATCTAGATCTCTCTAGAATGTTTTACCTTTGATACACCCTGGGCAAGGGGCAGTTTTCTTGACTTTCCACTCTGCCTGGGGCTTGAGAGGCCTCTAAACCTATAACTGAAGGAAAGCCTGAGACTCAGGTGCTGCTGAAGATATGGAGACAACCCTGGTCAGGGTCCTATTATGTAGTCATGGCTGACCTGGGACTTGCTATGTAGACCAGGTTGGCCTAGACCTCACAGGGATCCACCAGCCAATTGCTTTCCAGTGGGATCAAAGCATGGCCAGCCCAGAGATACATTGCATAAAATGCTTGTTTCCTTTTCAAGACTCCACTGATACCTGTAAGTGACTTTGGACACTCCTCTATTGTGACTCACAGTCTCTCTTAAATGTTTACTTAAATAATTTACTGTAAGTGACTCTCCCTCTGAGTGAGTCACTGAGCTAAGTCCCTAGGATGTGAAAGGATGGACATGAATTCTTTCCTCTCCCACAGGTGGGGCCAACAGTCCACAAGTAGGAAGTTGGTACATCATCACAAATAGTGATACATACTGCTAAGAAAACAGACTGGTTGGCCAGGTGGAGCATATGCTAAGGGAGAGGGGCTCTGAGTTCGGTGAGGTGTGAGCAGGTGCTCTTCGAAGAGAAGATGTTTTTAGCGAGACATGACTTGTGATTTTACTGTGAGCTCCTTGTGGGCAGGGGCTATGTTTTATTCACTGTAACCACTCCAGTACTTTTAATGCAGCCCGACACTTATTATGAAAAATTGGTATCATTTTTATGGTATTCAATGAATGTTTGATGAATAAATAAACAACCTCTTTCCAACAGTTCCTGTAAAGAGTTCTTAATCATATGAAGACGATGATCTCAGACAACTCTGACATTCTGTGCCCAGCCTGTCTATACCCTCTCCATCCTTGTCTGCCCTTAGCTGATTTTTGCCTCTGTCTCTACTGGATCCCCAGATTGTTGAGGCCAAACAGGAAAGAACTCCCCCCTCCGCATCAACATTTACCAACCACCCTCCATCCCTGCGAATGCTACAGATTTTTCTCTGAGAGACTATTAGGCACTTCCAAATAGAGCAACTCTCTCATTGACTATCACATGCTTCCTTAAATGATCTTTGAATAGCGTTTTCTTTTTATTGCTTTGTGTAGCTTAACAGCACCAATTGCAATTATTCTAACTTATGACAAGCCCCACATCTATAAAGCTCTTTTTCATTCATTATTTTCCTGTTGCTCCTTCTCAAATGTTTTTTTTTTTTTTGATTGTAGTGAGGAGGGGGTGATGGTGGAGGGGAAATAAAATAAAAGGAGATGCCAAATTAACAGGGAAACAAATGAAATAGGAGCTCACTTCTCCCTGGGTGACAGACACCTTATTAGATGCTGTTAAACAAAACAAATATGCTTTAATACAGCACAAGCACGGGTTTTGTATTTATCCTGAAATGGAAATAAAGCAATCACTATTTTGTCTCTAATGGAAGAAGCAGCTAATTGTCTCAATAGCTCATGAATTCTAACCACTTCGAGAAAAATGATAATTTTTTTATTTTACTGTTTTACCAATTGTTCAAATCATACCAAGGTGTACTTTCTGTCATGGGCCAAGAATTCTGTTGCTTGATCGATGTCATGGCTTCTTTTCCTGTTCAATTATTAATATGTAGGAGTTATAATTATTTTGAGTATTGCTATGAGATAATTATAAACCATAAAACAGTCCCTGAGCTTGTGGATGCCTTTCTTATCTGCAAATGGGTTGGGGTTTAAGAGCCCCTGAGCAGAGCATGCTTCTCATCTGCTCCCTTAAACAGCACATGAACTTTAGGAGAGGGAAAATGTGCTGTCTGGCATTTGGAAAACAAGGCTGTCTGGCCTGGAAGAAATTTTCTCTCTCCCCATCCCGTTGTGACTTGGAGCCTTCCAGACCCAGAACAAACACACTGCTCATGGCTTGTTCTACCCCATTATCTCAGTCTCCTCTAGCCTGTCTCCATTTTGTTAGTTGAGACTTGCAACTCATCACACACCTTGGCTCAGCTTGCTCAGCGCCCCTTCCTTCATTTTCTTGGTCACTTAGAAGCTCAGGTCAGGCACCTGGAGCTCCAAGATACAAATGCAGCCCAGATTCTGACTTTTTCTTCTCGCCCAATCCCTAGGAGCCTAGCCTCCGTTACCCTAATGAGCATCTCCAACAAGAGAACATGTCTATTCAGCACCGTGGACAGAGCCATCCTGTCCGTTCCCACAAATTAGAAGTTACTGCCTACTTCTCTTCTCTGGGCTGCAGTGTTGAGAGTAATATGAGAGAAAAAAAAGTCAATGTAAAAGACTGATGGTTGCCACAAAGTATGCAGCCCCAACCTCTGGCTGTGCTCAGCCGTGGGGTTCCTGCAGATGGTAAGTGGCTTTTGGAAGCTGCTGCTTTCTTGAACAGGCAGGCAGTGAATGTAAGAGAGAAGTGCTTTCTAGACTTTCTTGTGCTGATCTAACTCCTCACAGACTGTCATCTTGATGGGTTCCGGCAACAGGCCCATAGCTAGCCCAGGGTTCTTGTCTGGGCCACATACAAAGGCATGGGTGTCACAGATGGTGGGTTGGGAGGACAGGCGGCTGTTGAACACGGGGAGAAGGCACTGGGCTGTGTACAGTGTAATGCATGGCCAGATGACAGGGGTGTCCTGCCTCTCTTTTTGGAGTGGCTACAGGAGCTAAGAGCCCTGATTGGAGGGGGCAGCTCATGGCAAGCTGGGCTGCTCGTAAAAAGCCAAGACTTCATTTGTCTGACTGTAATGAATAAATGGCATCCCCAGTCATTGTTTATCTGCTTTTGAACCTTGATAAACAGTCTGTGGCATCTGATGAAGAGGGTTATTAGCTGCATGGAGACAGATGGCTGGGGATGGAGAGGATTGCCTCTTTATTACAGCAGACCAATAAATGACAGTGATAGTCTCACATCCCAGACCCCATGTCAAAGTCAATATATTCCCCAAGTCCTCTGGGGCATAGGTGAGTCTCAGAAAAGGCCCAGTGCTTGAGAAAGGCAGAGCCACCCTGGGTGGGAGACAGAATTGAGTCTGTGGAGTTGGGAAAATGGGAAGATCTCTAAAGCAAGGCTCTTGGAGTATAATACTGCCTTATTTTGTTATGATTCTCCTGGGCACCCTATAAGGTGCTGTCAATTCAAGAAATAAGAATGATTAAAGAGAAGGAGGGAGAACTTTGGATTAGAAAGATGGCATAAACAGATTTTACTGGACTGGGTGAGTGGGTGGAAGAGCAAAGGTAGGGAATAAAGAGAAAGAAGTAAGGGACATGTAGGGGGAAGAGAACATGGCAAACAAAACAAAACAGAAAAAATCCCTACTGAATCAACATCCCATGCTTTGGCACAAGCTGTTCTTCTCTGTGTAAACAGCACCATGAGGAACAAGCTGAGCCTCCCACTCTCCTTCCTGATCTGTTTTGTGTTCCTTGTCCAGCTTCCTCTGTACCACAGTTGTAGGCATACCTTCCCCTCACTGCATTACCCCTGAGTAATGGTGGGGAGGGCCTCACTGACCTTCATTCATTCTCCGAAACTTGTCCTTGGCCATGTAGCCCAGCACCAGACAGCATCCTCTCTTCTGGAGGCCAAGCTCTGGAAGGAAAGCATAGGTGGGTGAGTTGAGAAGGAGTCAGGTGTGAGATGTCTTAGCATGGGGCTGTGGATAAGCAGGGCTGCTCATTCAGAAAATGATTCTATAGCACTTAGGTCCCAGGCATATCCTAAAGTCAATGGTTCTTTCTAGATTTTCTCAGCATCATGTGAGGCATAGAGCATTGTGCTCTTCTTTTTCTACCACCTTCATTTACAGATGCATGTAGTAAGCAGCCTTAGCAGGTGTTGGAGTCAGGATTTTGGAGTAGACTCCGGAATACATTCTCATAACAATTACTCTGGGCTACAGAGGCTTTTTATAATTTAGGATTGAGGACCAGATGAACTAAACAAGAACACCTGGTGGTACCCAGAGTGGAACAGCACGATCAGACCCAGTGGGTGATCCACGATAAATACTGACAATGGAGAAGACACACAGATGGATAGACAAGATGTGCTCAACCTTCGGGAAGGGGGGGATTCTGCAGTTGCTGATCTTGTGTGTTCTTACGGGCAGGCACTAGTCAGCATCTAGAACTTGGGGAGTGTAGATTTAGAGTATAGGGTCCAACAGGGCCAACATACACAAGGACTAACAGCACGTTGACTTTCCCAAAAGAACAGACAGAAAAGCAACTCTGAGGAGCAAAGGCCTGACATTATCTCTTGCAGAGCATTTTATAAACCATCTTCTACTGTGCGTGAGCGCTGGACTTGAGTTTCCTACCTCACTAGTGGGCAAGATATTCATTCTGGTATTTGGCTTTTAGTCCTGATTTATCTTGGGTACTTCATGGGTTCTGAAACAATTTCACCCCCACTTTAATTGTTAACTCCCACAGCAATGCTTTGTGGTGTGCAGATGGGCTCCTGCCATTCGTGTGACACAGATGGGGGAGTGGAGGCTCAACAATGTTGATGGACTTGACTGCCTTTGATACCTTTGACTCATTATCACTACCTGTTCGTTTAAAAGCCGTAAAAATGTGACAGCTGCCCTAAACTGGGCAAATGGGTATGCGATAGTGTTGTAGAGGGCATATGACTTCAGCTGGCCCCATAGAGAATCTTGCCAGGATTTCTGCTACCTGGCTGCTTCCATCCCATGTTCTCAGAGAAGGAGGTTCCTCCTGAATGGCGTCACATTTGTTCATGGTATAGATGTGTCCTTGGCCTTTCACCTGCAGGAATCTTGGCTATCAGAGAATAGATAAGGTGGGATGGTTCCTCCTCCTGCCTCTGATAAGGATGTTCTGAATCCATCTGCTGCTGCTCAGGTCTAGCCTCTGAGGACAGCAGGAGGAAAACAAGGGTAGGGCCCTCACCAACAGATAAGTCAAGCTTAGGGGCTCATGCCCTAGGGAAAAACAAAGCTTAGCAGGCAGTGGCAAGATGCTTCAGCCCAGGGAGGTCACCAGCTTTGATCTCCTGATTTTTTTTTAAAGGGATTTATTGACTATCAGTGAAGAGCAGAGAGGCAGATCTGAGCGTGCTATTTCCAAAGGCTCACTTCCCTTCCTTCCCCTGCATACTCACTCACTCATCTGAAGGCGCAGCCAAACCTCCCTCACTTCAAACAGCTTCACATCTCAGGCACCCAAATTGACATGTTAAGTTCTCCCATCCAAGGCCTTGGCCCTTTCTTCAGGGGCTCCTATTCTGTTGAGGGCTCTGTGGATCAAAGCCCCTTTGATGTTTACTTACTATATTTGTGGATTCCTTCTAATAGCCACCTCCAAAAGGCAGGAATGCAGCCTGCAGAAAGAGGGCCAGTGGAAGTGCAGACTGTGGGGAGGCTCCTGGTTTCAACCAACAATAGCTTTTGCCTGAGCTTGCATCGAAAGTCCAGGTGCTGACAATAGGAAGATAACCTGGCCATTAGAATGATAGGCACATTATTCATCACAAGAATGACATAAGTGCTGATGGTTCCTGTTATGTTTACCACTGACTTATGTCCACCTATAGCACAGCAGTGGTGGCTTATAATAAGAGAGGGCACGCAGGCTACTAGACTGAGCCTAGGAGAGACTGTAGGGGAGCATTGAGGAAGGAGGGCAGAAGATGCTAGAAGGATTTGGTCAACATTGTTTTCTGGGAAGCTCCCCTCACTCTCAAGTGAATGCCAGGGAAACAGTTCTAAAGATTAAAATATGAGTGACCTGTCATATATGATTTTGACGGGGTTTGTCTCTACAACTCAACCTAAGTTATTTTATGTGTCACATACCAGGATACCTCCCAAGTGAGAGATGGAGGAGAGGCTGAACACTCATACAGTTATTATAAACAAGAGTCTCCCTGACTATATTTGATTTTTGTAAATGAGCAGGGAAAGAATTTTTTTTTAAGAAAGCTCTGATTAATAAAAGAAATTGAGGATGAGGTAATTTCCCAATGTATTTGCCTCATTTAATTTGACACGTGTGGGTTAGTCTTAATTATTTAGGCGGCTACGTTACAAGGCGCTAATAAGCACACTGAAGAAATTTTTCAAGTGAAAGGGCTTTCTGGCCACGTCATTGCCAAGAAGTGGGGAGAAGTCATTGGGATCCTTTTGAGAGCAAGTGAGCTGGAGGATTGGTAAAGTGAAGATTAGATAGCTTGTCAAATGCAAAAGTTTGGGATGCTCTTTGGAGAGATTTGTGTAACTAAATTAGAGCTCACCAAATCCACATGGGGAAGCCTACAGTAGGGACAGAAGTGGATGAAGCAGGGGGATGCGGGTATCCATCTGGGGAAGAAGAGCATTGTCAGAGGTACTGACTATATATAGACCAAGAAAGAAGCAGAAAGTAATCATGGAGGCTTGGGGAAACATTCAACAAGTCAAAAGAACAAGGCTTCTAGGGGAGAAATGGTACAGTGTAAAAGACAGAGCAGAAACCTCTCTTTGTGAGGCAGTCCAGCTACCAGCCCATCCCTTTCTTGTCTCTGAGATGGACAGTAACGTGAAAACACAGATATTAGTTTTGAACCTCAAGATATGGGGTCTTCTTCAAGTAGGCTGCTATTTTTGGCTTCATCAGTGGCAGAATCACCCAGATTCTCCAAAGGTTTCATGGAATATGCTTGAATGGAGCCTAGGCTTATAAAGGACTGTTCATAGCAAAGTTTAAAGTCATTTGCAGTTGGGTTGTAAGGCTGTCTGAGGGGGACAAAGGCTTAATCAATGCCGTGTGCAAAGAATCAGGTTTCAGAACAGGGATGTTTCTTAGGGTCAAGGGATGCTTAGCCCTCTGAGAACTTTTTGGCTCTGGATTGTGAGCAACAGAAGGATCAGAGTGTTCCTTTCCAGCCCTGAGCCCCTACTACCTGGCTCCGTGCCTGGCATGGGGCAAGTCCTGGACTTAAAGAAGGGGCAGACTCAAAAAATGTAGGGGTTGGGTGAGCAGTTCTCCCCAACCCTGGCCAGAATGAAGACAGATGGGCTTAGGTGCAGCAGGATGCATTTAGGTTAAGCTGTGGAGTGAATGAAACTTGTAATTCATCCAAACAGGGAGCTGTTCCACAAGTAGGGAGAGCTGTGGGATGTTCTCCGGGGAGAATAAAAAGGATAGCTTTATAAATGGAGTGAGTTTCTTCAGCTCACAGGCTGTGGATGGGGCTTTCCAGACTCCAGATCCCTTTATTCTCACAACTACTGCTAATGACTCGACGCTGCTGCATTCCATTTGTGGCGCGCTTATTTTTTTCACAGTGCTGTCATATTTACTATCTCATTAGATGCTCACAGTAGCTTGGCGAAGTAAGCAAGGTGGAAATTATTTCCTCCATTTTGGATTTAGAAACCAAGGCTTAGAGAACTAAAAACGACACTTCAGGGCCAAAGACCTACCTGTTGCTGAGTCTCACCCTAGAACTCAGGACTGGTTTTAGGGTTAGTCCTTAGGGATATCAGGACTGTAGATGCTGCAAGTCAAAACAGACCAGAGAATGCCAGAGATCAGTGGTCAGCGCTATAGGACTGCATTGCAGGATGAATTAGGTACCCTCGCCTATTCATATTTGCAGTCCTATTTCACCCAGCCCCGGCCAAACCCTCCTCCCGATGTGTGATTGTATGTGGAGCCTGGTACTTTGCAGAGGTAGTCAGGGTAAAATGAGGTCATTAGGACTGGCCTTAGTCCAGTATCACTGGTGTCATTATAAAAGGAGAAGTTGAAGGAATTATATGAGAGAGAGAGAGAGAGAATGACACATGAACATAAAGACGGCCATTTCTAAAACAGGGAGACAGATCTTCAACAAGTCCTTCCCTTATAGCCTTCAGAAATACCGAAGCTCTGACATTTTGATCTTGTGCTTTCAGTCTCTGGAGTCCTGAGAGAATGCATTTTTTCAGTGTCAGTCACACACTGTGTGATACCTTGTTATAGCAGTCCTAGCTAACTCATACACACAGGAAAAGGAGGAGCTGGCTTTCGAGTGAGACTTAGCTATTTCCAGTGTCTGTGATTCTCTCTACCCCCTTCATTTGTTCACACAGCTACTCTTAGTGTCACATGATTGTTCACTGGGTCCCAGCTGATGGGCAAGCAATTAGACAGTAGGGTTGGTGGGCATAAAACCCAATGGGAAAGAAGGCAGTATGGAAAAAAAAAAAGCTGCTATGTGTCCACATGGCCCTGAACATTCATAGGCAGTCTGGGATGCTTTGAGAATTTTGCTTTTCACTTGTTATTCTCCACCTAAAGACTAAAGAGCTCTCAGGTAATTTGAGCTAGAACAGATCAATGGACAAGAGCCAGTTTCTATCCCTCCCATTTCTAGGTTGTGTAGAGTATGATGGATGACTGTTTGTAGGAGGACTTCCTATTATGTTCCCAGCCTACCTCTTCATGAAAGCTGGGATGATATGGTGATAACAATTTTCTGTTTGCAGGTTATTTTTGTACTTATTTACTTATATTTTAAGTAATTGTAGGTTATATTGTACTTACTTTTTGTTTGACCACGTTACCATATTCACTATCTTGATTCAGTCGCCAAAGACT